GGCTTCAAATCATTTGGTTAGACCCACAGGCAAATGAACACAGCACATGTCCAAACATCACTGGCCATTTTGCCACCCCACCTGAGGACAACTTCCATTGCCAAGAGGGAACAAATCCCACATCTTTGCCACACTGGCTGAAGATCTCAACCACCTTCCAGTAATATCTGTGCACTTGTTCCAAAAATGCCAAGAGAGGAGCTCAGGCTCAGAGGACCGGACCTGAGCTCTAAGCCTTTGGCAACCTCTGTGCAAGGAGCTGCATTCCTCCTGAGACACCATACCGCTGGAACCAACAGGATGGAAGGCAGTTGCCCTCCCATCCATACCACAGATACAGGGACCATAACGTAACAAGCAGCACATACAGGATGGGCAGGTGATGAACCCTTTGCTTTGGACACCATGTGTCACCCAGCAAGCCCGAGATATTCCCTTGCTTCAAGAAGCACCTTTGCAGGTTCTTCAAGTTCACTAAGTCCTAAGTCCATTAAGTTCTTTAGGTGCTTCCCTGTGAGGGTGCTGAGGTGTTGGCACAGGTTGCCCAGAGCAGCTGTGGCTGCTCCATCCCTGGCAGTGTTCAAGGCCAGGTTGGACACAGGGGCTTGGAGCAAGCTGCTCCAGTGGAAGGGGTCCCTGCCCGTGGCAGGGGCTTAGAACTGAATGAGCTCTAAGGTCCTTTCCAACCCATGATTCTATAAAACCCTCCACTTAAGATGTATGTGGAGCCATACATCCAGGCAGCCCAGCACGCGACATAAAGCAACCGGAATCTACCAGCAGCATCACATTGACTGCCCATCCTCTCTTGTTCTCTCTATCATACTTAGATATGGTCATCTTAGACTGTCATCTCTTGTCCTCTGTGACAGAGACTTCTCTAGGTAGATCAAAAAAACCCACACCAGCTGGTAAGGGGTAAGTATCTAATGAGCAGGGAGCTAAGCCCGCTCTGGAGGCCCCTACCTAGCAAGCATTCCCTTCTCTCCCCTTTTCCTTTCTTCAGGCTATTTCTGTACTCCACAACCCCCCTCCTCACACCAAGTCTTAAACGCCAAGCAGTTAAAATATGTTTTCTAATAAACACTTTCTATGCTTACAACCTATTACTGGGTCTTTCCTACAACCTAAGGCAGCTGAGCCTCTCCCTGTGTTTCCTCAGCTCACCACACACCCATCAGCCTCCTGGTAAGGTTTTAATAAGTGTCACTGTCTCAGCTCCTGCCTGGATATCAAAGGCAGCGGGATAAAAGTGAGCTTAACTGGAGCCATCCTGAAATCTGTGGTGCCAAGGGGAGCCCGGAGCTCAGTCTACATCACAGAAGAGCTCAATGAGGCCATGACGGGGTGGGGGATTTGCCCTGTCAGAGACCTGAGGAGCTGGTTGTTATCAGAAAGCAGAAAGAAAGATTCAGTTTGCTTTGGAGACACTTGGTGAGGAGCTACATGTGGATCAGTGACGCTTTGAGAAGTGAGGGATGCAACAAGTGACATAAGACAGCTCTAGGGTGCATCCTTCGGTGCACTTGGAAAGCCATCCACATGACCACAACTTCCCTACTGAAAATGAAGGCCACGGTCCATTGAAACCCATCCTGGCTCTCAACATGAGGAAAGTAGCAAACACTAGGATGGGAAAATGGATTGCACCAACCAGCAGCTCCCAGTAACAATGCAGACAGCCAGGAGAGGTTTTAAAGAAGAATCTGTCGTGAGTAGGATTAAGGCTGCACAAAGGAGGCTTCTCTACGTAAAGCTGCAGCAGAGGACATCTGAGGAGTACCAAAGACCACTGTCAGATAGGGGTGGACTGTTGCAGTGTTCAGCACAGAAAACTCCATCATTCAGGGAGCTGTGTGGATACCAAAGCAATGCTATGCTATGACATGCTGCTTCAGCACGTACTCTCTCCTCTCTAGTGTCTACTACAAGGAGGACACTGACTACAAAAGCCACAGCTTTAACCAAAATATCCACCCTGAAGTCAACTTTTCAGGCTGAAATACACCCCATGTCCTGAAATAGTGCACACCAAGGAGGCATGGGTGTATCCTGCCTGTGGTCTACGGTGCCCCACACACTGAAACCACTTTGCAACACAATGCAGTGAGGTCTCCTGGTTGATCCTGGAAAGACTGTCATGGTTCATACCAGAGGCAGGAGGCCTCATCTGTGGTCCAGCCCAACAGCATCCTCTGCTCAAGCAAATTCTGAGAAGAGGAAGTTGAGGAGACTCATTTCACTCTACAATACCTAAAGGGGCTCCAGGAAAGCTGGAGAGGGGCTCTGGACAAGGGCCTGTAGGGACAGGCCAAGGGGAATGGCTTGAACCTGCCTGAGGGGAGACTGAGATGAGCTCTTAGGCAGAAGTTCTTCCCTGTGAGGGTGCTGAGGCACTGGCACAGGGTGCCCAGGGAAGCTGTGGCTGCCCCATCCCTGGCAGTGCTCAAGGCCAGGTTGGACACACGGGCTTAGAGCAACCTGCTCTAGTGGGAGGTGACCATGGATGTTGGAACTAGATGAGCTTTAAGGTCTCTTCCAACCCAAACCAGTCTGGGATTCTGAGATAATTCTATGATCTTCTACTTGTACAAGATTAAATGCCAGTTCTCTCTGTATCCCTAATTCCCCAAAACACACTGGCATGCCACAAACATCACGTGTTCCTAAAAGCTTCCATCCCATCGTCACGAGGTGGCCCCCAAGAAAAAGGATGTAAAGGGAGACAAAACAAACCCCTTGGCTTCCTGCCACCTACACTCTTATAAACCCTTGTTAACAGCTGTTGCTATGATCCAATCCAAGAGGTGTATTAATAGCAACACTAAGAGACACATTTACTGTTGACTGCAGCTCCGTGGCAGATTTATCACCGGGTTGCTGGGGGGAGAGGCAGGAGCACCATTAAAACCCAATTGAACACAAAGAGCCAATAGTCTATCCAGCCAACTTAGAGTTTTGCACAATACAAATAGAAATGAACCGCCCTGAACACGGTTGTTGACTGGTCAGAAGGCACATTTTAGTCACCAAGGAACTGCACTGGAGCTGGACCAGGGACAGAGAAGGGAAGGATTTGCTGCTTGGGCCACCACCACCATCTACAGGACAGCAAGGTGGTACCTACAGATGGACTTTCACAGCAGCCCCACTTAAGTAAACCCTGTGGCTTGATCTTAATGCATCAAAAGAGAAATAGAGAAGCTTCTCAGCATAGAGCACTTGACCTATACTTGCATCACCACAAAACCCCAGCTCCTCTCTGCAACACAGCTGACAACCACAGTCACTGCTGCACAGAAGCTGTTCAATAAGATGTGCCACATGCCCACAGCGGGGAAGAACCTTTCCAGGAACAGTTAGGACTGCCTCAGCACCAGACAGATGCTCTGGATGCAAAGTATCCCTCGCCTTCACTCATCCAAGCCTGGGAAGTGCCTGCATGGCAAGCCCTGCTCTGAAAATGGGACAAGGGGAGCGGGAACTGCCAGTTCACCTGATTCCATGAGGTGCAAAGCACTTGGATACTTCCCTGTGTTGACAGGATGGATTAGCATGCTTAGAGAGCAGACAGGATAAACAGATTAAACTTCACAGACACAGCTCACATGCAGCTCAGAAAGGAGGAAAAGGCCCAATGAAAGGTGATGCTCCCAGCAGAGCTGAGCTCTGCTCTTACTATCATACAATCCCAGACTGGTTTGGGTTGGAAAGGGCCTTAAAGCTCATCCAGTTATAGCCCCTGCCATGGGCAGGGACACCTTCCACTAGAGCAGCTTGCTCCATGGCCCTGTGTCCAACCTGGCCTTGAACACTGCCAGGGATGGGGCAGCCACAGCTTCTCTGGGCACCCTGTGCCAGCGCCTCAGCACCCTCACAGGGAAGAGCTTCCTTATCTCCAACCTGAACTTCCCCTGTTTCAGTTTGAACCCATCACCCCTTGTCCTATTGCTACAGTCCCTGATGCAGACTTCTTCCCAAGGCAAACGTTCCCTTTGTCAGGGCTCTCCAACACATTGCTGCTGAGACCAAGCAGGAAAACCCCTTGGCTGGGTGGCCTAAATCAAACCCTGCCTCCTTCAAATGAGAAGGATATATAAATACATACATATGCGGTGATGGGGGGAAGCTTCTCAGAGACATGTCGAGGCTGAGAAATGTTTCAGATTTGCTCATTGCTAAATCAATACCCATCAGCTGTTTGAAATTAAAGGCAAGATTAGGTCCTGGTTTTATACACGCTTTATTGTATTCCGAGAGCTTTCTACTCAGCCAGATAAATCTTCTTTAAGAGGATTAGGAAACTTTCATTATCTTTATCTAACCTGAACTAACACTAACTCTGAAAAATTAATCTAGAGGCCGGACAAAAGCTGGGAGCTGGTGTAAAGCCACAAGGATACAGAGTGGAATCCACCACAGTACTACAGGGCTGCTGGTACCCAGATCCTCCCCAGCAGAGAAATTCTGCTTTGCAACCCAACAGGATCTGCTACACCGACCTCCAAAGCCCTTTGCAAAAGCCCTTCATGGCTGTGAATGACTTTGAGCCTCTCATGCAATCTACCCCCTCTCCCAAACTCACAGAGTCTTGTGCTTCACTTTCTGCTCTCCTGAAGCATCTTCCAATGCATGCTCAGGAGCCTTGCTGACTGCTTCCCAACGTGCCAAGCCAAGCAACATGGTCCCAAGCAACGGAGATAGGTCAAATTCCCATCAGGACACACCAGACCCTATTTCAGTCCTTAGGTGAGCTCTGCTACATGTGATATCATACAACACAGTGAGGCTGAGATGACACAAGTCATCAGCCAGTCCTGGCATGGCCAGCACTGGTCCACATCCCCATTCCCACACCAGTTGATCCCTGAAGCAATGGATGTTGGTCTGATTCCTACATCTCCAGCACCATGATGGCACTCCAAACCCTTCCCAAGTCCATACAGCTTCCCATATCCAACAGTCAATGCAGCAACAGCATGAGTCACGTAAATACCTACCTTGCACAATGAGATGGACGCGTGAAGTCTTGGGGTGATTGTCTGTCTGCACGGAGCAGGTGTAGGGACCTTCATCATAGACATCCACATTGTGTATCTTGATGCTGTACTGGGTCTTGGTGTTGGAGAGGATGACCACACGGTTGTCTATAGACCACTTGTCATTGCCGGCGTACAGGATGGTGCTGCGGTTCAACCACGCTACCCGTGTGACCCGGTCATCAACAGTACATCTGCAAAGGAAGAGACAAGATGGTCACAAACCTGGAAGAGATCACACAATGAGCACCCCCGTTCCCAAAAAGCAGACACGAGCACAACAGGAGCTCCCTATCATGTGCAGACACGGAGATGGCACACACCATGACCATGCTACCCTGTCCCCATGTCCCACATCATCGCAGAAGTGGCAGGTCCACCAAGAAAACATCTTTTTCTTTCATATAGAGCTGGAGAACCAGAGCCAAAAATCCTTTTTGCTTGACCTCCACGTGCTACACAGACTTTCCATACCCATACAGTCCTGAAATCATTAGGGTTGGAAGGGGCCTCTGGAGATCATCCATTCCAGTCCCCTGCCAAGGCAGGGCCACCCAGAGCAGGTAACACAGAAACACATCCATGGTGGGTTTGAATGTTTCCAGATTAGGAAATTCCACAACTTCCCTGGGCAGCTTGTTCCCATGTTCTGCCACTCTAAGTCTGCCCTTCTCCAGACTAACCAGGCCCAGCTCCTACACTCTCCCCTCCAGACCCCTGTGCATGCTTGTGGCCTCACTGGACCCTCTCCAGTAGCTTTCTTATACTGAGAAGCCCCAGACTGGACACAGCACTCCAGATACGGCCTCAATAAGCTTTAGTAGAGGGGGAGGATCTCATCTCAGCCATGTCCACCTCTCCTCCTCAATCTACCCTTGCTCCATACCAAGACTTCCAGATGAAGCTGTCAATGCGCTGACAGTTCAGCTTGTCAGCATGGCCCTTGAGCCATCCCCAGGGTGACAGATACACCCGCTGCTGGGGCACAGGGGCCACAGTACACACAGGGAGAGGGGAAGAAGAGAAACAGCTGGAGCCAGTGCACAGGGAAGAGAAGAGAACATTTGGACAAGCAGCTGTAAATCCTACAAGTGCCTTGAAAATACAACGCGGTTGTTGCTGTGATTTATTTCCTGCCTGTCTCCCACCCTCCCTGCTCTGAGATGCGGCAGCTCCGGCCCACGGTGCTGACTTATGCTTGGCAAAGAACAGAGGGAAGGGAAGGGGAAAAAGGGAATTAAAATGTTCCTGCAGAACACTGCTTTTTCATTTTGTCTGATAGATTTTTCTCCATCTTGTTACTTGTGGCCTCTCTGCTGCTGCCACAGCAGCAAAACCACCAAGGATTTGGTTAAATGAAGAGCCCAGCACCTCTCAGGAGCTTCATCTTTCCCAACCAAGGACCACAGAAAGGAAACTTTCCCCTAGCAAACCATGAAAATCAAGCTTGATGTGAGCTTGTGCCTGCAGCTTTGTGCAGCCAAGATGCTAAGAGAAGGCACCTACAGTCAATCAAAACCTCACACAAGTCCCTTTCCACATGCCTGTAAATTCAGAGATGGGCTAGTGGGTTGTCCCTGTCCCCATCCCCACCGCAGTATCTCGCCTGCAGAGGTTTCAGGGTGTTATATGCCTCCCTTGCTGGGATGGCAAAGCATCACCTCGATCGACAGTATAAATCGGGTGGAGGGAAGGGGTGACACTTGGCATGTTTCAGGGTCCCTCCGGGCCCTGGCTTCAGAGCCACGAGCCATATATCCTCCTGCAAAGGAATAATGCTCCCCTTGCTGGAGCTGTACATCTCCGCCAGCCGCATCACGTAGGGACGGTGGGAAAGACGGATGGCTTTCCACGCCTGGAATGCCGGGAGCCTGCCCAGGCGGCAGACGAGCCCCGGTACCCGCGGCGGCACTGGCTCTGCTCCGCCGGAGCGAGCAGCATCCTTGTCGGGAAGCAGAGCCCTCCCTTTGTTCAAATTAACTTGGGGAGAGCTAAGCAGAGCCAAGTTAAGTTCGGCCCTGGGGGATTCCAGTCTAGTGGACTATTACTGCTGTCTCACTTCATTATAATGAATAATAAAGAGATACTTACACACGGCTTCTGTAAATTATTCATTGCGCGCACTGAAAAATCAGGGCAGCAATATGTAAAACAGACAACTTGCATGTCTGTGCTCACATAAATAGCCAGGCTACAGCCCTGCGAGGGGCTCTTGGGTTCCCTCATTAGGGGTGAATCACATTGACTAGGGTTTAAAGTGAGAGGGATGAGGAACTAGTGCTGTAACCAAACACGTCCCTATGTCAACACATTTTGGGTGAGCTTCCCAGGGAAATGTGGGTGCTTGGGGACCCCTGAGGACTGAAGTCACTCATTTTGCATTCACAGTTCCCATTTTCAGCTCAGATCCCAAATGCACAGGAATGCCCATAACATGGGAGGACACACACAAGGAAGGGCAAAGACAGCATCACCCACCCTTACCCATAGCTCCCAGAGACTGGTACCAGCCTCAAAACCACTCGGAGTAAATGGGTAGGAGCAAATAGAGACTCCTACAGATTCATGCCAAGAGCAAGGAGGTGAAGGCTCCTTCTCCCCATCCCTCAATTTCACTCTTCAATTGCTGCCACCCCGTAACTAACGTGGGACTGAATCCCTCTGCTTGCTCTGCTTGCTGAGCATCCTGCTCCTCTCCACCAGGGCTTGGGTTATGCCCTGCAGCTACAGGTGGTGAGGAACCAGACAAACCACCCTGCTTCTCAACCAGCCCTCCTGTGCCTCTAGGCAACGTATCAGAACGGAGCCATCATCCATCAGCTGGCACAGAAAGGTTTCAAAGGCAAATAAACAACAACACCCAGAGGCGAGCAGCAACCCCTCTACCCTCTACCTAGCTTGGAGAATGATCTCCATTAGCTGCTAAGCTCCCTCACCTGCTGAGCCGTCTTTGTTACCTCTTTCCAATTGACCAGGATTATGATAATGTCTCCAGTAAGCAAACAGGTAAAGAGACTTCTGCAAAGTGTTTAGATAAAGCAGACAAGCTCTGACAATGCTGGAGAATAAAGCAGGCCAGGAGGTTTTCCCTTGAAGGGATCTAATTAAGAACAAAGACAAACCCCCATTAACAGTCTCCTGAAGACGCCACATCCATCTCCAGAAGAAATCCTGCCAAAGGGACCAAAGACAATAAAGTGCCTGTCAGATGGGAGGGAAATAAACCCATCCTGGATGTGCAGTTCACCTGGAGAAAAACCATCAGCAAGGCAGGGGGAAGATCTTGGGACTGATATTGTCAGCCCAAACCCCGACACCCACCTTATGCCAGTTCTCTTCTACAGTTCTTCTTCATGTGATACCACCCAACACATCTGCTCCTCCATCTCTGTCACACTCAGAGCCTCTCTGCCCTTTCTCTTCCAAATACCTCCCCGGTGTACCCACTTTGAGATCACAGAATCCCAGACTGGTTTGTGTTGGAAGGGACCTTAAAGCTCATCCACCTCCAACCCCCTGCCACGGGCAGGGACACCTTCCACTGGAGCAGCTTGCTCCAAGCCCCTGTGTCCAACCTGGCCTTGAACACAGCCGTGGATGGGGCAGCCACAGCTTCTCTGGGCACCCTGTGCCAGCGCCTCAGCACTCTCACAGGGAAGAGCTTCTGCCTAAGATGCTCTGACCTTGAGCAGAGACTTTTCACCATGTGCAGCCCTTTGGCTGCCTCCCACCCTGACCTCTCTCTGCTACAGCAGCTTGTTGGGGTGCCTCAGATGCTGGCAATGCACACAGTGATACATGTGGCCTCCCAGAGATGCCACATCCCCAGATCCATCTTTATCCCCTCCCTCAGGGGCGACAAGAGCTGCTGGAGTGATGAGGGCGATGAACCTGAACACAGCAGAACAAGAAGATGCACGAGGGAGGGAGCCAGGGCCACCAGCGCAGCACCGCTTCCCCTCTAATTGCCCCAATTCCTCATCCTTAAATGCTAATTGTGAAGTTTACCAAGGAATTCTTTCACTTAGTGTCAACAATACAAATAACTCTGCTGACTCGCTCTTTGTGTTCACGGCACAAAGCGATGGGCTCCCTCCTCCTGGATCTATTAGGAGAGACCCCTGTGTCGTTCCCGCAGCAGGGTCCTGCCTTGCCCCATCAATGACATTGACAGCACTTCTCCTATGTGTTGGATGTGCCACCTTCATTCCCTGCTTTTCCCTGTCCCCATCACAGACCTTTCTATCACTGTTGCTTCAGCCAAGTTATGAGGGCAAAGCCTGGGGCTGCCCTCAAAATCTGCCCCATGGTGAAGGAAATACTGTGTCCAACATCAGCACAAGTTTGGAAGGATAAATGGCAGGTGAAGAGTTGGAGGCATAAAGCAAGTCTTGCAAACCCTTCTCTGCAAGATACCCCAAAGGATGGAATGCTGGTGACCCCAAAATGTCTATGCACAACCCAAGCAGTCCAGGAGACCGCTTCTCACCCCAAGCATGGAGCCTTCAGGATGATGTTCATGTTTGGATCAACCCCAAACCCTCCCCCTTCCTTATGCAAACCAACAGCGTTCTACTTGTAAATACTTCCACAGCCCTTCAGCCCCAAACTGCTTTTCTGTCCTGGAGGCAACACTTCCTGTCAACATGACAAATGGAGATGCCAAAACCAGTCCCAAACTGGCTGGATGACCCACTTTTCAGTGGCTAAATTAGCTCACCCGCATCGGGAGCAAAGCCCCTCAGCAGTGACAGGGTGTTGCTTCATCCTGGGAAGTTACCACCCAAAAGAACCTGTCACAGGGGCAGAGGGAACACCCCAGCACCCTTGTCTTTGAGAAGAAACTGTTAATTACAGTTGCATGATCCTAATGGGTTTTCTCCTTTCCTTCTGCTACTCGCCCCAGCTCCCGAGTTAACAGGCTCCGAATGCCTTTTATTCCAGGAAGCTGGAGCAAAGGCAGCCAAGATTTATTTGTAATCATTGGAAGTAAACACAAAAGAACAGAACCTGGCTGGGCTCCCACTTCGTTAAAGATGCAAATTAGAAGCAGGCCATCAACATGCGCCAGCTCTGCTAATCCTCTCCCAACAATGCGACGCGTCACATCAGCTGCGGGGACAATGGCATCTGCAGCGTGTGACGGCGGGTCTTGAACAACAGCTCCCCGAGGGCAGGCCTGTGCCGCCCGCCT